GAAAGAGTTGTACCCACCAGACCCACCAGTCAGTTTTCTCCAGTTGCTGACCAAATGATTCAACTGATCTTACTCCGGCCCCCCGAGAACCTCAGGACACCTGTCAAAACGCAAGCAACTACTCTGCGTGGGCGAGTCTCGAACCGTAATCGTCTTTTTTTTTTTTTTTTTTTTGCGCACAGAAGACTTTTGTCCGGTTCCGCTGACAGAAGAGATTTGCTGCTACTTGGACATCATTATTAATTGGATTACCTTTCAGAGGGGAAGTAAATGACCCAAACGTTTACTCGCAGCACTTAGGGAAAGTGGGAAAGATGAAACCTCTGTACATCTAACAAGCACGTTACGGTTCCCCAAGAGGGGAAACAGGAACTTTGGTTTCTGTGAGACTCTGTACAGCAGAACAAGTAAACAAGAATCCTCTCTGGCTTCTCCAGTCCTGTCTTTGGCCCGCGAATGTAAGAGTAGCATGTTATAAACCATACCCAAACCTCAGAGCGCTCTGAGAATAAAATAACTCATGGCACCCCTTCCCCTTCAGTGCTTTGCCTCGAGAATACTGTCACACGATACATCTCAGGGGCCGTCTACCCTGCTGGGGGGCTGCGGTAGACTCCCTCCTCTTTCACAGCTACGGGGAACGTTCCCGCCGAAGGGCTTTTATTTCTGAACGTCTTTATTGTCTGCCTTCCTTCACGGAATAGGACACATCTGGAACAGGCAGAGTAAGGATCGCTGTGTCCTCGCATAACAGAGGACCTCAGTAAAAGCCTTAGATTAACACGGAACTAAGACCCTGCAGGCTGCAATTACCTTTTCCTCAAATACAAATCGTTATTTATATAGCAGTATCTGGCGCCGTAGTTCACCGCAGAATCGCTACCTACCTGACCGAAAAACCCGTAACCGCCATTGGAGTACCAGGTTAAAGAGTGCGCACGACTGACGGGAGCAAAAAGCAAAATAATGCAACGGCAAAAGACAGGGACGCTGAGACGGGTGACAGTAAAAGTTGCCGAGTCTCGCACCTTAAGAGACGCGAGGCTGCTGCACCCCCGCGTGCCAAAGTCCAGCCAGTAACGAGGCTGGGGATGTATTCCTGGTAGGCAAAAATGCACGTGTCCAGCGACGCTGGTCAACACAGAAAACGCACAGCACTCAAACGTGAACGGTACAAGCGGCTGAATACTCTTCCTCCTCTCCAGCTGATCAGTTTGGAAGTCCACTAGTAACCTATATTCGTATAAACTTAGATGCGTACGCACACAAACATTACAAATCCCTTTGGTAGCTGGTGTTAAGTCTGTCCGGTAACTAGGTGCTGGATTTCCTGGCACCAGGGCACGCGAGCACTGCAGTACTGCTCTGCTTGCTCTTTCTCCGATCTTCTCACCTAGGGAGGGAGACAGAGAAAGGTTAATCTCTCTGCTAGCTGATCCAGACATATGGCCTTCCAGTAGCTGACTCTCAGACGCCCACCCCGTTAACACGCAAACGCTTTCTTCACCCTGCTTCTCCTTCCACGTTCCCATCTGTTTTCCTCCCAGCCCACTTTGACTTCTTCCCCACCTTTGACGCTTCCCTCAAACGACCCACAATGTGTCTCGCACGTTCCCACAATCCCCTGGAAAAGAATCTCGTGGTAGCTTGTCACATTCCCAAATGTTCTTGCCCCGCATGCCACCGTAAGCCCAATGCTCCTTCAGGTGGGGATCCCCCCTCAGTCTGCAGACATCCTGGGAGCACCCCCCCGCCTTATCCCCTTGCTGTGGAGAGAAGCCAGGCCGAGACAAGGGCCCAGGGGCCGACCCCGCTCCTCAGAAAGCTCTGGGAGCAGCCCAGCCGGGGCAGCATCACGAAGGCCCATCGCAGCGATGTGCCCGGCCGCAGCACCCTGACGAGCAGGCTGGCCCGCCA